ATTGTACATCCCGCTTGGGTTTGCGCAGCATCTGCTTCTTCCTGTGGCTCATCGTGCCGTCTCGGGTGGTGTTCGCCGTATTCGTTTTGAAACATCCAGCCAGCAAGGCTGTGATTCTTGCAGCGTCCTGAGCGAATTGACAGGAGTCGACAATTTCCAGACCAGATGCTCTTTCAGATGAGCCGTTTACTTACTCAAGTACTCAAGTTGGTGCTAACTCATCATCATCATCATCGTCATCATCATCATAATTTATTGTCCCTTAAGGGCCCTGGGTTGGGCATTACATAAGGGGGGGGGAGCATCGAAATATGCATACAAGGTCACATTTACAAAGGAAAAAGGCATGTTAGCTCTGTGCACTGCTGCGAAACTGAAAATAAAAACAAAAATGACACATGCTACGCGTTTCCGCATGCGTTTGCAAAGTATTTGCATTGTGGTTTGACATGCACAAAACAAAGGAGAAAAAAAGAAAACTAATAAGAAACAAATAAACAAACAAACATCATAGTACGTGTTTACAAAATGATAGATGGACTGATTTTGTAAGCAAAATCAGTCCATCCAGTTGTGAATTTAATTCTTGTTGGTGTTCTTTCTGTAGTTTGTCCTCTAGTGCGTCCACAATTGGCTCCGAACACGACGTGAGGCCACTCCGCACGGGAATTGGGGCGTCTGGAGTAATCACGCCGGTCAAATATTTGTTTGCCGTAGTATCTAAACTGTACGAACTGATCGCAATTTTTTCGTTGCATCTGACGTCGTGTGCGCACACTTTGGGCAACCTTCGACTACAAGTGATACGGTGACGGGAAGCGCGCTTGACTACGCTCGCTCACGCCAGTGTTCTAAGACTGCTGCGTTTGATGGCTTTGTTCGAAGCGTTTATGAAACATTTGCTGACGGAGTGAGGCTGGGTGGACTTGTCCAGGCATGTAACTTTGGGTCGTTGTTTGGAGGGATGCGCCTGTTGCACACCTATTACCAGGTTTACTTTATTTTCTTCTTTCATGAGAGAGGCCTAGAGAGCCGGGCGCGTGCTCCCAACCGGGCTGCAGAAATTAGGCACCACCAACAAAATTCTTGTTCTCCTCGTTGTTTTCTTCTCTTGTTTGTCTGTTCGTCTCTCGTGTTGTGTGCGTGTGTTCACGACTATCATCGTGAGGGATCGATTTTTTTTCTCTCTTTGCAAACTCCTCATTTGTGAGCGACCTTTGTCAAGGTCATCCCGCGCTTTCTTTTGCCCCGACTGTTCCGCGAAAGCTGTCTTCGGGTCAGTCCGCTTTTTTTCCAAGGCTGTGCGCAATCGTCTGGCGTTTCCAAAGGGTCGCAACCGGTTCCCCTCCTCTGAGTCATTCCTCCGCCTTTCTCTCTTTTTCTTGCCCAGAGCACGCCGGCACCTGGTCAAATCTGTGCAGTGCGTCGAGCCATTTGGTTAGGAACGACTATCATGTCGGTCGCCGTGTGCTTACGTGTAGGAGCACTTGAAACTTCGACCGCAGCTGGTGGAAATGAATCCGGAGTACCCCCATCGAAACGTGCCTCGTTGTTTCCGCACCTACAACCCTATCATTATCATTATGATTTGTTGTATTGAAATCGGGTAGCAATTGGGAAATGAGACATCCCTGGCATTGCAGAAAGAAGGGAACGAGACGAAATGCTTCTGTAGTCGCTAATAGCCTCTGTAGTCGCTAAATGCCTCTGTAGTCGCTAATAAGACATCGCGCGCGGCCCGCACTTAATTGTCGACCACCTCATTCACTGCACGTTTCTACTCCACGACACCGCGTCTTACAGTCTCTATAACGTCTTTTTTATCTCGTTCGGCACTCAATCGTCGCCCAGTCCTCTGCCGATACTAGAACCAGTTTGTTCGAGAGTCCAAACATCAAGCTGACGCGTCGGTGTGTTTGTGTGTGTGTGTGTGGGGGGGGGGGGGGGGGTGCTACGTTCAAACTTCGTTCCCACTAATGGGGAAACCTGCACATGCCATGAAAGTTTCTTGCAGTCACCGATACGACCAGTAGGTTTTGTCCACGACCTCCTCTATAAAAGTTTAAAGAGGAGGTTGTAGTTTCGTCGCGCTGCACGCATTTAGTGCAGGTCGTTCTCACTTTTTTTTTTTTTTTCGCGCCGCCGTACCCGCATTTGGCGAAGAATGGTAACCTGGGTACGGGCGATGATGGGTAGATTAGTTACGTGAGACTCTGAGACAAAGTGCCTCCGGTCGCCGCGACTCCTTCCTATCTGACAACGGCAACCTGGGACGCTCGTCCGTCCGGGCGTGTCTGCTCCCGGACCAAGGACGATGGCGCGTTCAATGGCCCTTCGAGCGGTTTGCATGCGGCCGCCACTGGCCTTCTCTTATGATACGCAGCCGCGCCAAATTTTCCCTTTTGTCACGAATGCGGCTTGACGTAACGGGGTCACTTGTCTTCAGCCAGCTTCCAATGCGCTTACTTTTCTTTTGACTCGTAAAATAGCCGCCTGCATGTGTCGTGGTGTATACTGTGGCGTTCTTCAGTACCGAAAGGTTGTGCTGCTTTCGAGATTGTACAGCGGATCCAGCCACTCGCTTCATGGAGGGGTAACGTGTAAAATCTGAAGGGGGGAGGGGGGAGTCCTGACTTTTGGTTTAGTAGTTACTATGATGACCAGAACCCCATCACAGCATAAATAACGTTAATTTGTGCTGACCTGGGTCCCACTTATTTGTTTAATCTGTTTTCTAATATTAATGTGATGGAACGATTAAAAGAAATTACGGGCTACTACACTTCAAACATAGGTACAACTTCTGTTAGGAATGGGGTTGACACTTTCATTACCACGCCTATTCAAATTGGTCATCGGTGATCGGCGTTTTTTATTGTTGATTTTGGCATGTTGAGTGAGCTTCTCGTGCACCCGCCACTTTCTGGTAGTTAGTTCAGCCACTCAACTTTCAGAATCAATTTGAATTAGCTCGTTTTGGCAACATAGTGAACATAGTGATTTTTGACAGATTTTTTCGTGAACTAATGTGCGTGTGTTGGGAAACTGCAGTAGGCTGGCGAACTTGACAGAACTGTGTGCCCCTCGTGGTTATGCTACTGTACCATCAAAGTTACTTAATGAAAAGAAACTTTGAACAATAAATATCAAATTAATGTGTCAGGTTCGCAATCTGACAACGGTAATAATTGCCACAAATTTAGGCCTGGTATTCAATAGAGTTGTTGCTAGGGTCAGGGAAAATTTATTCCACAAAAAATATTTCCAAACTTGGGTCCGCCGCATGTATCGAGGTGGCCTTCTCAGTCAGATTCGAGCAGCTTTTGTTTCACTTGTATGGTTATATCAGACACGGGGCCACATCTAGTGTCTCTAGTATCTCATATATGCCGTCGTCGTCACGCGTGCATGGGCGCGCACTTGCGCCGCAAAACAAAAAAAAAACGCGGTGCTGTAAACTGTTGCAGCTGCATCAAAATAGAGTGAAAACGAGCCTTGGGGCCAAGGATATATATGTATGACAGCCCTTTAGCTTCAAGATCTATGGCGACAAGGTTTTTTGCGTCAACCTGAGATATCCGCAGCCGTTCATAGGTTTTTTTCTTTTTTATGGCTTCAAGCTGCCTCACCCGCCGCAAATGCGTAGCTGCTGACCTTTGTGCGCAATCTTATAGCTACTCTAGTTACGTGCAAAGTCCATACGTCTTTAAGGAGCGGGCGCCGGCGGCAGAGCCTCACCTCACGACAAGGAGGCCGACGGAGCACGTCTTGGCCCTGGCTACGGAGCAGAGCGAAACGTTTCAGAGCTGTGAACGATATCGTTCTTTTTTTTTTAATAAGGTGCCCAAAAATGCAAAGAAATATGCTTGGACGCATATACTCGAACGCCTGCCTATGGCGGCTCACGGAAAGAAGTGATGGCCAGACGAAATAGCTATAAGTTCATCCGACATCACGGGGGTCCATCTATATTGGAACACTTGCTGGCTCTAATCGCTAAAAAACAAAAGTTTACTGAGAAAAGTGCACGAGTTCACTTGTGCACTTTGTGTCTAGCACAAATCCAAGTAATGCTTCGATTCCTTCGATAATGCTTCGATTACTTCGAAGGAGCAATGAAGCACCACCTTGGTTCCGATTTTCCTTGTCAAGGTGAATAGAAGCATTTTGTAGAGCATATACTACTTTTAATGCTGTATTTTTAATACTCTAATGCCATATACTGTATTTAATAATACATTTTAATCTTCAAATGTATATTCTGAATTTACTTTTTTTTGAATATTTTTGCATATATAGTGTTTTGTATTGCATTTTTTACCAGCTGGCAGTGAAAAATTACATACTCGTCATATTTTTATTCATTTCAAAATACTTTTGTTGTGATTAAACTTGTATCTTTTGGAAAGAGCATTTTGTTGTCCAAATTTGGTGTGCTGCAATGCGTGCTGGAGTACTTTTCAAACTAGTAAAAACTATTTTCCCGAGACATATAAAAAATAATCATTGTTTGCGGCACTGAAAAGGTTAAGTGGCCATTGCAAATGCTTGTTGGAGGCAGTGAAGGGAGGAAGGGGGGCTGACATACGTTTAAAAAGACCCATTGCCCCCCCCCCCCCTCCCCACCTAGATCTGCCACTGCTGTCAATGGTGTAGCTCTGGTTGTCATCAACTTGTGTTAATATATATATTCTGAAGTATATACCATGGTGAATGCTCTGTGCACTGCATAATATAAAGAAAAAGATTAGCATTGTGCATTTTGTATCTTACATTTGCAGGGAATGGCTTTTGTACACTGTCAACAATTCAAGTGCCTCAATATGTGCGTTTAGGTATATATTTGCACCGGATCGTGCATGAAAAGTGCACCAGAAGTATACATTGGCATCATGTTTAATTGGGGCCTTGAGTATTACATGCTCAAATATGGTGCAGCTTTCTTACATTGCTGAATGAGTGTTTGTGTTTGAAATGCATGTGTTGGCTTCTTTGTGCAGGTTTTGCAGCAGCAGATTGAGTCTCGCAGCGTTTTGGTCAAGTCCCTTTTGAGGCAGTGTGAGGCGCTGTGTGCAGCCGGTGGTCCACCATCCCATGCAGCAGGAAACCAGGGAGAGAGCGCCTCCTCGCTCCAGCCGCTGTTCGCCAACGATGCCCAGCGGATCCGACGCGTTGCCGCGAACCTCGAGAAGCGTTGGCATGCCCTGTGGCTTCATTCTCTAGAGTGGCAGTGCCTGCTCGAGCAGTTCTTGCAGGGTTCACGGGTGAGCCTAAGTGAATTCTTGTTCATCGTGGAACTAACGTGTGCCCGCTCACAGAAAAAGAAAACCATTTGCAAAATCTTGCGTCGCCACTGTGCGGGGATGTCACCCAGGGCCAGATTTGTTCACTCATTGTGCTAATGAAAAAGGAGGGTTTTAAAATAGTAAAAAAAACTCAAAATATATTTTCAGAAACCACAGTATCGGATATTTACAATACAAAAGTATTATGTTGCTGCAGAATAGCCTTTATTTTTCTTACAGGCTCAATAGCTTAAATGTTTTGAAACCTAACACAGTTTTCTTGGCTTTGTTATTTTTGTGATGGGAATCTGCCTTGCAGAAGCTCTGAGGAAGTTTTTGTGAACATATTTAAACAAACTTGGTATCATTTCTTTTCTGCAGCGCCTGAACTACTGGCTAAAGCGTTTTCTTTTTTTCTCAGCCTTGGTGGACTTTTAGTTAGTTGATAATTATGACTAAATTACTGGGAACTATTTTTTACTGACAAAATTAAAAAAAATAATTTATGATAAAAAATAGCTTTTTTTTTACATCTAGTTTGCAAGTGGACCCTTTAGAAGAACCAAATAGTTTAGAAAACTAACTTTTTGTATTGCAGGTTACCGTAAGAACCTGTAACAAATTACAAAAATTACAATGTGTAAATTTGCTATTTCTGACATTTTAAATCAGATATTTGATATCTCTTTGCACATATGAAATATCCACTCAGTTGTATACATACATGGAAATTTTCATTAAAGTAGTGTAAATGAAAAACTTTTCTCAAGACTTCCATGTGTGTACAAGTGACAGCATAATATGAACTTATGTGTGTCCAGGCTCATACATGTGTGCTAGTAATGCGTAAATAATGTAATGCTAGCCCGACACTTTTAGAAACTCTTATTAAGGTTTCGACAGCGAATTCACAATAGCAGGCATAGAATTCATATGCACTCATCTGATAGGCATAGACCTCAAGAATGTTTAGTGTTTCCTGCACCAGACACTGGCAGCACCTCAGCAACTATGTGCCAAATGGAATGCTGTTGTAATAAAACTACACAATCTGGTATCAGGAGAGCTCTTAGGTTTTACAGCTTGTTAAAATGACTGAATCATTTAGCCGTTCTTGCTGTTTTACATCTGGCATATCTACTATTATAGAATCCTAACTTCTGGGATGTTACAATTTATAATGTGATGTAGGCAGTACAGCAGCAACAACTTTCATAATGCTTTCCGTAACAGTATTTAAAGTAAAGTCTGGAATCGGAGAGAAGTATGCAGTCATACTGTAGTCTTGTCATGCAATCATGATAGCTTATGGTGGTGTGCATCAAAAACAAGCCATCCTATATCACACCTTGAAATATGGGATACTATTTCGTGCTGTCCTTCCTGATTGGTTGGTTCTGTCTGCCATTCAACTAAGCTAGTGGCTCCCGGCACTACATGGACTATTCATAAGCGATTTCAAAATATATCGGGGCATCCACTGTGATGTGACAGAGCAAACGTTCTAATATAGTATTTTGTCGTGTGGTCTATGCCCCAAGGGGCAGCCTCAGAAACATAAGAATAGTAAAAAAAAGTCGCAGCTGTGCCGGAAAGGCGAAGCAATAAACACGATAGCAACAAATTGGAAGGTCACGCTTAGAATGGCAAGCAGATCGAAGCGTACGTTGCATTTCTCACGCACAAATGACGCATGAAACGTACTCACAGGTACAGATGAACGCGAATAAGCGCCTCACTTGTTATTTCACTGTGTTTGAAAAGCATGTCCTTTTCGCATACGGAGGCTGTGCAACGATTGCAGTGACCTTTGTGCGCCCAGTAACTACAACAGAATCATTCCAGTGAAACACCAGGTCTAGCCAAGACGTACGATTCTCTCCACTGCAAAGACGCGCGATCGAGCGTACACCTGCTTATTCTCTACGAGGGCCAAAGTACGTTTGAGAGATGAGAGCCACGGCGCGCTCACTGCACCGTCTTGCTGATAATCCTGAAAACACGATAGTTCCCCCCTGAGCTGCCTGCCAACAGCTGTAAGTGGTAGATATAAATAGCTTGCTGTTTAAATGCCCAAGGAGGCCCACGGTGGCTCAGTGGTTAACGCTTCGCATTCACGACGCGGAGGTCCCACGTTAGATTCCGTGTGCTAGAGTCTTTTTTTTTCAGTTTTTTTTTCTTTCTTGCTTTTTCATATATATATATATATATATATATATATATATATATATATATATATATATACGTATACATATAGGGTGCATGACATCAACGCCAGCTGTGAAATCCAGCCTAGAGTGTCCATATAATTGCTATTGCAGTAAAACATCAGCACTTATGTTTTTGTCTTTTTTATGTATCTTTGTCATGCTTGTTATTAATGCACACTGCCATAACCTATCGGTTACAATGTACAGTAGAAGTTCCAATGTACAATGCAATACTTTAGATAGCAACCTTGTTAATTGGTTTTCCTTTCAGTTGAAAGCCGTGCCGCGATGGTCTAGTGGCCAAGATATTTGGCTGCTGACTGGCAGATTGTGGGATCGAATCCTAGTTGCGGCGGCTGCATTTTCGATGAAGACAAAATGCTGTAGGCCTGTGTGCTCAGATTTGGGTGCACGTTGAAGAACTTCAGGCGGTCAAATTTCCGGATCCCTCCACTACGGCATCTCTCATAATCGTGTGGTGGTTTTGAGATGTTAAATCCTACATATCAATCAATGTACAGTTTTCTCTGGCGTTTCTGTTTTTCTTTCTCTCTCTTTCATTTTGCTTCCATGAGCCATTGAGGAGTAGCACTTAACTCTTGGCTGACAGGGTGAGCTGAAATTTTATATCTTTAACTCTTTCCCTCCCATTGCCAAGCATAGTGGTCACGAGATTGTGTACCAAAATGACTGATGACGACTATACTTCCCAACAAAAATTGGTCGCAGATAGAACCAACGGCAATCACATTCGTCATAATTTCTTGATGCTAGATGCCACACTTGTCCATGTTGGGTAATTTGTGTCTTGACTTTCATTTTATTGCCATCTATAACTGTATTGCAGTTTGGTGAAGCTATCTTGGAGCTATCTTGTTTACTCAGTGAAATAATGAAACTCTATTGGCTTGAAATAATAATGCCATATTAATCAAGAAAAAAGTCTCTGTAAATTGAGCAAAAATATTTCTTGTAAATTTTGTACAAGTATCTTAATTTTTTACGGTAACAAAAGGTTTAAGTGACATCTCGGCAGTTTTCTTGCATTCGCTTGAACATCAAGTCGTGACAGAAAACTGGGCCTCATTGAATCCCAGGGTCTGTGGGAGACAGGCAGTGACTGTTGGTTTGGTGATGAGCCCAAGACCAAGCAGCCACGTTTGAGCTGTGAATGGGACGGCGGCAGCAGCACGGCGAGTGACAGAACCATGGAAATCGGCAACAGCAGTAACAGCGACGCCAAGGAGCCTCACAGCAAAGAGAATCAGCCAAGCTCTGTCGTGGTGCCTGCGACTGCTGCATCTCTGCCACCCACTAGACTCGAGAAGGGCGTCATGGTCGGCCAGACTGGCATCGCAGACCTTAAGTTGGCCTGCAAAGGGGGCCGGCGCTTCGAGGTGCTACACGACGTCGGATATTCGAGCGAGAGCTCGACGCAGCTTTCTAGCGAGGACTGCATCCGCATATACAGCTATAGCCCGGAGCTGGCAGAATCTGTTTTCCACGAGTATCGGGATGGCTTGGCGAGGAACTGTGTTGACGAAGGTGCCACCGGTGACAACCCTGCTCTGTATAAGGCAGCTAACGAGGAGGAGTACGAGGAAGGGGAGTACGAGGCATCACCGTTGATCCAGTCGAATGCCTCGAACGTAGACTTCTACAAGATGACACTTCTCGAAGATGCACCATCCTCGGACCACAACAATGACGATGTCGCCGCAGGCACTCTGGGGCAGCTGGATGACGAGCTGATGGATTTTGCTGAGCTGGAACAGCTTGGTGGCGACACAAAGGCCTGTGCAGCAAGGTATGTAATGCTTACTGAAATTACTACGGGCTCACTGGGATTGGAAATATTAGAAGCTAAGTATACTTGAATTTTGGAAGCGTTTGCCTAAGAACTTGTGACTGGGTGCTTAGTGACAAGAAGTGAATTTGGAGGGGTATCGATAAGTCTTTACACATTTGGCACTGCACAATTAGTCATCACAAGGGCGAGCTTCGAAAATTCACCCAGTGATCACTCTTTCCCAACAACCTCTGTGAGGGAATCACATAAACAAAGAAGAAAGTGGCATCTTAACGAATGCAGTAGCTGTATTCCCTTATACACATAATAAACAAAGAAATGAATGAGGATCAATTGACGAACGTATGAGTTACAGAGTTCAAAGGGTTTCAGCAGCAACAAATGACCTAGTTAAAATATTGCACAATGTATACAAGTTGTGGTGAAATGCATAATTGATTATACCATCCAGGTAATGGTAACCAAATGCCAGTAAGCAACATGTGCTAAACACATATGTTGTTTACTTGCGTTTAGTGATTACTGACGAGTGATTTACTGTTGGGCTGGAACTTCGTTCACAAATGTTGCACATACCATAACAGTTGTTAAAATGGGTGGAGAACACCCACTTTTAACATAGTAGCGTTATAGAGCTCGTTTCACAGAAATTTTTGTGTCAGTGTTGGGCGGGCATTGTTAGTTGTGAGCAAAAAATTATCTAATTGAGGAAGATGCAAATAAAGTAAATAATAATGATTTCTGGGCCCGAGTGAAGATATAACTCGGACCATGGTGTTCTACCGCAGATCTGCAACATTTGTCTAAATTGCGTTGGAAAAAAAAAACTCATATGAATGTTGTGTAGAGGAAGAAGTCTGCTTAGAGCATGTTAATTTGCTTGGCAGGAGCATAGAAGTGTGCCAAGCACCAAAGAATGTGAATAGAGCAATGAAAGGGCTTTTTAAAGCCATACTCACCTGCGATGCAAGTATGTAGGATTCGAGGGTACAAAAACAACCAAAATGGTGTCATCGATAGGGACTTCGTGTCTGCGCTTAGCGGTAAAAATTTCGGAAAATGGGATGGCAAAAGATATAAACGTCTGGAATTTCTGACTTTTTAATACATTCACTTTATGGAGAACTTGACGGTGCCACAAATAGGTCCGGAAAATTGGGCATGTCCGGAATTTCGGCCGTCCGAGAAACTGGACGTCGACTGCATAGAGTTCTCATTCCAAATTGGGATATACCAATCTACTTAAAAGCTCTTAAAATTAAGGGAAAATCTTGCTTCCATAAATGTGCATGTTATGTTTTATTTATCGAAAGCTACGTATTGTAATTAAAGAATTCAACATTTAAAATCTACACACAAAAATGCATAAACTTGGCTAGTGTTATCAAAATCGATTCGTAATTCAAAAAATTTTGAAGAGCAGTGTCTCCCTGCTGTGCTATTTCCTCATAGACAAAGTGTTTCTTAGCTGACTGCTTGCTACTTTACCCCAGTGTCTGCAATGTCGACGGCAAGTCTGATCGTGTCAGGCGTTGGCTTCAGAACTGCGAGTCGGCACCTCTGACTTCTGCCGAGGAAGAAGAGGAGGAGCCAGCGGCGGCAGGAGTCAATGAGCGTCACGTGGACAGTTCGTGTGATGCCAGTGGCGAGTATACAACAAATGACGAATCCGAAGAACCCGGCGATGAGTCTGATGGAGCAGCTTCATCTCGCCGTTCTTCTCGTGGCAGCAGCAGTCAGGGCCTGGACACGTCACAGAGCATGTCACTTCTCAGCAAATCCGGCACTGGCTCTGTGGAGACCGTTGTTCAGGTGTGTGCACCAACTTGCGAATCAGCCTTACCAAGGGACCATAATTTTCTGCAACTTAAAACTGAATCTCTCAGAGTAGGTAGTGATTGCAAGTGTGCTCAATGTAATGAAAGTGAACTGCAAAAGTTAGGCATGTGAGAACACGTGAATATAGGGTTAACTGCACAACGATTTGTTTTATGCCATTGTCATGCAGTCCGTTATCAGTTAAGATAACACAATTGCTGCAAATGAAGGAAAGAAGTGTGAACTTAAGGGCTCACTTTTTTGCTAGGCATAATATTATTGAGAACTACTAGACAATGATGAAGAAAAATATAGGGGATGTTATTAGAAGTAATATTAGTGTAAATGTGAAGAAAGAAAAGTGCACAACAAAATAACTTCCCGCCGGGAGGGGCTGAACCTACAATCTTCGAATTCGAAGGTCGCAGGTTTGCATCTAAACATGTTTGTGTGTGTGGTGTTAATTTTTGGTGAGTGTGGTTGTCTCATCAGCATTGAACATTTACTAAAAATCACAATAACCTACCTCATGCATCTCTGAAATAAAAAGAATTAAATTAACAATGATGTATGAACCCGGAAATCTGCTCCAAAACTAACTTGAATATCTCCGAAACACACCCTTTAATGCTTCAAAAGTGCTTCAAAACTCCCGTTTTACTGCTCCAAAGCTGCTCCAAAACATTATTCCTGCTCCCTGAGCTGCTCCAAAAGACTCAAGCCTGCTTCCACCTCTGTACTTGTCATTTCTTACCTGTAGCACCTGTAGTTAATAGCATTCCTGGTTAACCTCTATTCACTGGCTCTTGCCGACAGGTTGGCTCAGCCCTCTCCGAAGGTGACGCAGCCACGCCGAGGGTTGTCTTGCGCCAGGGCCTGCGTAAGAAACGCTCACGTGAGCGTCCCTGGAGTGTGATCGAGCTGGGTCCATCTGGAGCTCTGCAGCTGTGCCCACACTCGACGTCCGAGACTGCTCTCCACTTGCTCTCTTCCTCATCTACCGTGAAGGCACAGAGGTAGACTTGTTTTTTTTTTTGTATTTTGGCAAAAACACAATATATTTTATAGCAACTATATGAACACTCCAACTGTATTTTTTCTGATGCGGTGAGACCAAATTGATTATGTCGGCCTGTGTGTCGCAAGTTCCACACGTGAGTCAAAGTGTGCAAGGGCAGCTGACAATTGTGGCTCAAAAAAAAGGGGGGGGGGGGGGGGAGGAATGTGCCAGTGATTTTTCAATTCACGAAGCCCACAGGGTAGTCCGAGAGTGGGGGCCTCGTCACTTGAACAGGAACTGCATGCTTTGATTGACTGGCCGATACCTTAGCACTTTCGGTGTAGTCTGCTTTGAAGTGATAGACAGTACTACAGTCAGCAGATGGCTTATACCTTTTGTCTTGCTGTGCAGTTTGCATTGAGGCAATAGATGGCGCTACGGTTGCTTTGCTTGCTGCAGTGGCCACATTTTTCTTAGAGCGGCATTTAATTGAGTTACCACAGATTGGTTCAACTTGCTGCCAGCCTTGCTTCATATGACATTTTTGTTTATTGCTATGGCATTTATTATTTGACCCTTTCAGCAATACCGTGTTGTTTTTCTGTTTGTGTTGTGGTGCTGCAGTGAATAGGGCGACTACAAAATACAAAACTAGAAGTGGCAGCCATACATGCTCCTGAAAATGACTACACTGTGCTCTGCTCTTAATGCCTTCCTTGCAAGTACATGAGGTTTACATGATGAAATGAAGTGCAATAAATGGGACAATAAAAGGAAAGAAACACAGGACAAAGCGCTTCGTCCTTTGCGTCTTTCCTTTGTAGTCTTCCCGTTTATTGCGCTTCATTTCATCAAGTATGCATCACCAACTGGTCCAAACCTGTGCTCTTCTGATTCACGTACGAGGTCTTTTCCGTCCGTGAATATGATAATGGGGGTTTCGCAATGCTAACTTTATCACTTTCTTACTTCTAGCAGATGCAAATGTAGGAGCAGAGAGAAAGGGTGCCATACTAGTATTGCAGCATTATTGAGATCGGCACATGAGGCAAGCTCCTATTGTAGTGTGCTCCTGGACGAACAGAGATTACGAAACTGCTTCACATGTGTGACAGCTTAGGGGCCTCTCCTATGTTTGGAAAATCGTTTTCATTGTTTAGTTGTCACATTCCACTTAGTGCTCATCGACGGTTGTTCTTATTGCCACTCAGCATGTGCAACATTTAGAGACAGTTTGCATATAATGTCATTGTTTTGAGTGTCGGGAGAGTTTTTGTTTGTGTTGATACAGTAAAATAAATTTCTCTGACTCAGCAAAAATTCACACCTATGCTTTACTGTTCAGGCCTCACTTTAAATCATACCTGTTCCCTTCTGTGTTTCTCTTATGCATAGCCGGCCACGTACAAGCTCGGTGGGCGTTCAGAAAGACCCTTCATCACCTGAACGCCGACTGCAAAGGTCCCGTGGCCTGCGGGGATTGCGCTCTGGTTCGAGCTCCGAGGCCCTGTCGGGCTCTTCGTCGGTTCACAAGCGGCAGAAGAGTGGTGATGATGGTGAACGCCGCCCGAGACGCGCATCCACCCTTTCTTCAACGGGCACCAGCGGCTCTCTGCAGAACGCATCTTCCTCTTCTGGCACAGAAAATTACCAGGTGAGCAACTTATATAGTATTCATAAATGCAGCCTCTGTTGAAGCTCTCCAGTTTAGATCCCTCACTCCTTTCGCATTGGACAAATAGTGCGCTCGTAACAGGACAAGTGTGTAAGACCTGATACATTTGGCATGACCCATGCTACACACGGGACATATTTTTTTGGTTTGTGTGTGGCCAGTTTATGTGATAAATAAATTGAGCAATTAGCACACCAGAATGTGCTGCAAAGTACTAATTGCAAGTAGGTAACTGAAATCTTAACGAAAGACAGCGAGGGCACTCTGTGGCTCAATAACTGAATGAAAATTAAACAGGCAGAATGCTATAGCTTGAAATTTATTTTTCAGATCTCATGACAAGGCATGCCCCTATATTTTAAATGAGCCTCCTCTTGAAGTTTGTCCTTTGCTTGACCAAGTTGAGGTTCACACCACTGCTCAATCGGGAATGACATTACACTTCTCTATAACTGCAGCAGTTTGTGGCTGATATTCAGGGATTCGTTCTTTGAGAGACAGTGCTCCTGTTGACTTCCTTGTGTCGGGTGAAGGGATTCAAGGGCAGAGAGTATGGGGGGGTAGGGGAATTCTGGCCCCCTCCAGGCTGCTTCATAGGGGGTAGATCCCCTATTATTTAGGGCTATCCACCACAACGAACTGTTGGTCATCATGTCTTGCAGCTATTTCACAGGGGACTGTCGTTCCTTTTTCTTTCATGCTTTTAAAATTCGGATCATGGGGCAATGACAAGTAGAAAGTCTGGCGCCATGGTCACCTTGAGAACGAAGTTGTAAGATGAGGGAAATTGCAGCATTTCCCAGACTCTTGTGCAAAATAAGTACAAGATGTGCATTTATGCATCAAGAATATTAAAGCTTTTTTATCTAATAGGTAATTGGTAATAATCTTTCTAATATTTTCGATAGGCCTTTTTTTGTTTTTATAAATGACGTTCAGTTGGTGGATTCATCGCTTATAATTTTCATGCACCCTTGACACTCTGGTGAAGTGTTTGTGTGCCACTGTGCGCAGGACTGCCTTCCATACAGCAGCTCCAAGAGCCACCTGTTTTCGCGAGCGCCCACCCTGGCCCATGTAGAGGAGCAGAGCTCAGTCTCAGACCAAGTGTGGGACGATTACCAGGTGAGTCGCTTTTGCAGTATGGTATAGTGCTCCAAGACGGTCACTATCGGCGACAATGAAGCCTCGCACGAAACGCCTAGCTTATAAAAGTTGGTAATTTAATTTCGCTTGGAATCCAACATGCTGGCAGGCATACTGTCCTTGTATGCATGATATTCGAGTTCTTGTTTATTCAAGGTCTCGTTTCCTGATACAGTTTAAACAGTGTCGCTAAGTTCACATGACCTTTAGGTTGAGAGCAGGCCACACTGTATGTGTGCTGGCTGTGTAGCTTTGATAAGCCACCAGTATAACTGTTGGTGTCATCCATTGGCAGAATCAGAGCACTTCCGGTAATGCTTTTCTCTGCACCATGCAGAGCAAGTCTATTCTATAGGCAGATTGAGAGTGCTCCCTCCATGTTCCATTGGCAGATTTGAAGCAGCTTCGTTGAGAGATCCACTCCCTGGAGCAACTTTTCTACTCCGCGAAAATTGGCGGATTCGACCAGGAGTCACAAGTGCCCGGTGCCTTAAAATGGTGTCAGTCTTGGGCACGCCAACAGACGCCGGTCGCATCAGTTGCGCCTCACATCGGAGCTCTCATTTTGCTAGTGTAGTGTGCCCACTCATGCAAGAAGAGAGACGCGTGCATCCCATTCCGTTCTTATGCTGCCATTTCCTCCAAAGGGAGCACGCGTGTTACATTCATAGCTTCCCATCTGTTGCCCTCCACCAGAGTGGAGTGCTCTGGCACAAAGTTCGTCGAACACTCCAAATCTGCCAAAAGATGACACCATGTATCCGGAAAAAAATTTGCTGTGGAATGATCTCCTTGTGCTGATAAATTGTCATAAGCAGGTGCTGTCACGTGTTCTTTAAGTGATGCATAAGCATAGTTTTATTGTTTTGTCTTTCCCTGGAATGTTCTTTCGGGAAAGTACCGTTATGTCTTCTTCTCGCAAGTGCTCGTTAGCATCTCAAAACAGCCCCTTGGCTGTTCCCAGCTAGTGTCACTCTTTCACATTTGTTTTGTAGCATGGGTACAATGCATTCATATGGTTCAGATATTATAGCTCTACTCAGGTACAATACCAGGAAATGCCCGATTCCACTGATCTGGCCTTTAAGCTCAGCCAAGGTCGTGAAAGCCTAAGCGAGTTGCATTAATGCTGCAGAAATATGTTGACTAGTTGCCTGCCAGATGGTGCAATGTTCACGGCGCTCAGTTTAGACCAATGTTTCATCAGTGTATCGGCACATTAAACACTCGCTTCAGTAGGTTTGCGCTGCCGTCGCAACACTGGCCAATGTGCTTCAGCAAAATGCTAGTGCAGTACATTGATGAAAATGAACAATGACTCAAGCTTGGTTTCTTGTGCCACTACTGCGTCGATGGCGCCAAGCAGCATCGATGCTGAGCGAGAAACTCTACAAATATGTTTTAACCATGTTCAATCTCAGCAATATCGTTTACATTTTTGCAAGCTTGGGCGGATAGTGGAATGGTTTCAAAACACACCTCCAGACGATCGTGTTTGGTTGGAACCAACCTCCACCTAGATAATAAGTTTTGTTTAATAAATTTATTGTTTTATGACTATTATCATGTTATGACATTGCGACAGACCATCAGATTTCTCAATGAGTTAAGTTGGCATACAAACACTTACCAACCAAAAAAAAAAGCAATAGTACATCAGTAGAATAGTACTGTCACGTGCGCAGTCATTTTTTCCAAAAACTTTGGAATACTCTACCATCGTCTTTAGTGAGCATATGTGGTTCAATTCTTTCAAACATTCACTTGTGAACATGATGTAGAATTGGGAAATTCTGCCATCTTTTTCTCTTTTTCTTTTCTTTTTTTTTTGTTTCTCTCCTTGTTTGGTGTTCTGAGCTTGGGCCCTTGTACTTTTTTTATTATTAGATTCATATCTGAATTTTGATCGAGTGGTACGTTTTGTATAACCAGTGTTTAAATCAGTGTTATCCTATACTTTTTGTCTTTACTATGCTCATTGATTGTTCATGTATGTTCTTTTTTCCATCTCTCTTTGTATTTGTTCCGTGTGTCATATAATCATGTACTTGCCCCTCCCGTTCATAATGTATTGTGTGTACCTTGAGAGTATTTCAAATAAATGAATAAACAAAGTGTAGATACAAAAAATTTTGCCTCCTCATGTGCAATGTAGGACCCACCCTACTTCAGCGAGCCCTACTCTGAGCAGACTGCCGACGAGGACCAGATGAAGAAGCTGCTGGACTTTGGAGACGACTACTGGGCCTTCATAGGGAGCCCCTCAGACACTTCCTCCCTCAGTGGACAGCCTAGAGAGCTGCCTAAACGATCCCCTCACAAGGGCCGCCCGGCCACTAAGGTACTTTTCCAGTGTCCTCAAACGTTAGCCCACAATTAGGCATTCTCAAGCAGTTAAACCTCGGTGTAACAAAAGTGTGTTTGTTTCCTATTTTACCTAGGCTTGTGTGAATATTGAAGCACTTTGAATGTTCAAACAAATATCATAGTATTTCAAATTCGCTTCAATCTGAATTTAAATTATTGAAAATTTCGATGTATTCGAAATCAATGAATAAGTGTGAAGTCCACATGTAACACTCCTGTGAAGGTGGTTTCATTGCAGTGGATGAGTGCTATACCATGAATGCATCTGACTCTGGGAAGTTTGTGCTGTCATAAAGCTCCACATCAAAGTTAAATTGACTTATTACCCTCACATCAGTTCACCGCGTGAATAGTGAATTTTTGATGCAAACCAAATTCAGAAAACTGTGCCCACACATACCGGGCACATTTTACCGAATTCAGAGAAAATAGTGATTTGATTCAAATAGTGTCAAATTAAATTTATATCGCATCTGATAAAAAAAAAGTGAGCATATTTGTCATGGCCCAACCGAACTGCTCAGTATTTTTTTTATTTAAACAAAGCATGTGCAAATGTCATTCTTTTGCTCCAAAGGAAAGTGGAAGCAAATTTTAAATATTACAGTAGAACGCTAGTGAAAGCACATAAAATGCATTAAGTTTCAAGATTTACTGTACTTGAAACATATAAGCCATTAAAATGAGCCTTTAAACTTAAAAATGCTGAATCGATGTGAGAGTATTATGTAGACTCACGTGGAAAATGAATTTTAAGTTCGAAATGAATTCGATAAGAATACCAGTATTGGTCGAATAATTTCGAATCGAATTCGAATGGTATGTATATCGCATATTATAAAGAAAGTGGGTGTATCTGTCATGACCGACGAAATGTTTAAAAAAAAATTCGGACAAGGCTTGTGCAAATGCCATTTTATTACTCCAAGGAAGCGCGATTTTAGTTTTGATAGAATTCAAGTGGTAACTTGTAAAATATTTAACTTTTAAAGTTTGCTGTAATTTGAGCATATAATTTGGTAAACAAGCTTTTAAAATTGAAAAATGAGTTGATGTGAGGGTAATATTTCCATTTAAGCTTGAAGTGCGAATTTCACAGCAGTGTGTTTTTTTTTTTTTTTCTGAAAAAGTGTTTTTACAGTTTAGCACTAATTCACTGCAGTGAAACCACCTCTACAAGGGATTTTATATCAATTAATAGGCATTTAATAAGGCGTTTTCACGGCTTAGCACCTCTCTGATGTAGGAAAACGACATTTACTGGGGTATACATGTGGATTAATATATTTCTGTTCATTCATTTCAAAATTTTAAATAGTTTAAGTTTGATTAGAAGTGAATTCAAATACTGTATTATTCATTTGAATATTCGTTCAAGCCTAGTAGTATGCTCATTTAAGTTTGAAATAAGGCTTTTCAGCAGTCGAATTTACTGGCGAGAGGTGTATTCACAGTATACATTCCTTCACTGCAGTAAAACCACATATACAGGGGTGTTACATGTAGACTTAATGTATTCGTTCATTTTAAATACTTTGAAATTTCTAATATTCAAAGTGCTGAAGTATTTGCACGAACCTGGTATTACACTTTCTTTGTACTTTGTGTAGAAGGTCAAATTTCAGGATAGCATTCAGTCCACTAATAAAGTAAATTCTTTATGTTACAAACTCCATGTTTGTGGAGTTCTAAGTCTACGTTGGTGCACGGAAAAGACTGTGCATGCATCGTGCCGCTGCAAATGATGCCAGCTTTTGCACTCTTTTCTGATCTTGCAACACCTTTTCAACAAATCATCTTTATTGTTCCACCAACCGCCTTATGCACTTTCACTGTTGTTAAATACCGAGGGTCAGACAACGTAGCAACCTGGGCACTGGGAAGTATCGGCAATACATATTTATTTTCTTCACGAAACAAAACACAGACTTGACTCAACTGGCAAAAAATAGTGTATATGTACACTGTTAAAGGGAACAGCTGCGTACTAATCACATTTATATTTTGTCACTTAGAAAAAGCATAGCAGCTTACATTTGCATAACACTGCTGGTAATGTACAGTTCTAACTCCTCTTGACAGACTGGGGCAGTGCTTGAAGATGGTTTTTGTATCCACTTGATGTTAAAGGGCCAGCAATATGAATAGTGTTCATTCCACTGCTCCCTTTAACAGTGGACCGTACTGTACTGTAACATATTTACTCGAAAAGAGGCCGGGCACCAATATAGTTTGGCCCCTACCTATAGTTCATAGTGAATTGTATGGGGCAGCTAGCCAAGAAGTTCACCTTTCCGTTATCCTTCCTAGAGTGTTCTACGGGGACAAAAAAAAAATATTCGAATATAGGTCGGCCTATGTTTTTGTTTTGTTTTTTTAATTTAGAAACAGAAAAACTGAAACATAGTACATCTTTATTTACATATCTTAGCGCCCTAATGACTGCCGGGGCTGTCATCTTCCCAGATGTGCAAAATGTTCTTGGCACCAGATTCTTCGCAAGCATCCGTGGCTTCCCAAGCGACGTCCTTGCTGCCGATTGCTGGGCTGCGAAGAGCACGGCGCCATCTCTTGCACGCAAACACACAGTCCTGCTGCTTTCGCCAACCACTAATCAACTTCTCATTTATACAAAACTCGTTCTGCGTGGCACGATTGCTCGATTCCTCGGCAAATAGTATCACTTGGCACTTGAAACCACCTGTGTAGCTCTGCCGACCTGACATTGTTGCAACCACGCACAAGCAAATAGTGGTGGGGGTTAGAAAAAGGCGCCTAATTTCTGCAGCTGGGTAGGGAGCACGGCGCAGCGCCTAAAGCAAATGAGAACTGTCAGCCCATCAAGCCAATCGTACAACGAACAAACCACGAAGTGGCAAGGCCTCAGGGCAGTGCCAGTGCGACTGCACGCTGGAAGGCAGTATCGGAAGCACGGCTAGCAGGCTAGGGACTTCACTGCCTATGCCTAAAGAAATCATGGTTTTTATCGCAAACATGGCGGAGCGGCTGCAATGCGCGGGTGTTTTGAAAAGGCAGTACGTGGCTATTGCATCAATAACTTAAGTGGGACAAGCATATTGACAATATTACAGGACTGGCGAAGCGAAAGCTGGGTTTTCTGAGAAGGAAACTCCGTAATGCACCGCCCTCTGTTAAATTGTTGGCGTATAAGACTATTGTTAGACCAACGCTGGAGTATGCAGCTATCATCTGGGATCCGCATACTAAAACTGAAATTAACAAACTTGAACGAGTACAAAGATTGGCCGCGAGGTTTATTTATTCAAATTACATGAGAACACAGTCTTTATCACTTTTGCTTGCTAGGGCTGACCTTCAATCGTTAGCTACACGTAGAAAAATAGCTCGCTTAAAATTTATTTATGACCTGTATCATAAAAACTACAAGCTGGATCCCAGTGTATACCTGCGCCCCCAAGGACGAGTATCGGCTCGTACCAATCACTCATTTTTTGTCCAAGCTTATGTACCGCGGGTGGATGTATTTAAGTTTTCGTTTCTGGTGCGATCTATTGTTGACTGGAATGCGCTTCCTCCCGAGGTACTTACAGGATGTAGATCCTCACAGGATTTTCAACGACGGCTGGACTTGTTTTTTGCCTAACATTGTTTGTGTATTGTTAACCTGTTCACCTCCCACCCCTGCTACAGCCCGCAAGGGCTAGCAGTATTGTAAATAAAATAACTTTTTCTCAATTACTTAGGTAGTTGGAATGAGGGGGGGGGGGGGGGGGGAAGGTCTTTATTTTAGATTTTGTGGTATATGGTGTGCGTATGCAGCAGGAACCACTTGATGAACAGTGGGCGCGGCAGTTGAACGCCATAAGCTCGGTGCTCTTGGTTGGTTTGATTGTGAATATAAGTCAAAATTCTTTGGTCACGGATATATGTCAATAGCTGGTTACGAACAACATTTTCAGGAAAAAAAAGGGCTTGATTCAATTAAATACGGTATATACCGACATCAGTAGCCAGCATCAGTACACAACCATTTTATTCGATTTATTGCTTATCGAAGTTCTCTATACAGCTAACTGGTAGTGTGCACAGTGTTCATATGATAACTTTATTTTTGGGCGAAATATTACTGATTTCATGGTCGTTTTTCATTTTCTCTTCAGCCTGGAGGCACTACAGAGTTTGACTCGGACTCGGACATAGAAGACCTGCACCACCTGTTGGGCCAGAGCACTCGCGCCTACACCTTCATTCGCAGTAGCCTGCAGAAGATTGCTGCCTGCAGCAAGGAGTCTCCGCGGGTGCCTCGGGAGAAAATGTCACCACCCAAGTTTGTGAGTGCTCGTACCCCTCTTGGGCGGGTTATCATGTTTTTTTTCGTAAGAAAGAAGGCGCCACTTTCTCTCCTTTTGTAAGTAAGTACTGAAACTAAACGAAGCTTTAAAGAGTGCAGGCCTGTTATTATGCCCAGGCTATGATCCCTTTATAGCAAGCTCAGTGAACACTGTCACTGCACTTCTGGTTTGTCTCATACAATAGTTCTTTTTTACTCTGACGAAATTTGTGTCAGTGCAAATGTAATTACGAGGTACTGCTATGGGAGAAAACACTTGGACAGGATAAACAGGATAAGGACGAGCATTCGTCTCTATAGTTCCTGTTCCGCACATGTGTTCTTTTGCACAGCAGTATGCCCAGCTTGGCACTTTAATAATGCATGTAAACATCCTTGCTTGAAAGGGTGATGTACCATGTGTGCAGCTAAGCAGTGCCATGTTGACCGTGCATTCCGCAGGCGGAGCTGGTGGCCACCTGCCAGACCAACTTGCACTGGTTGAAGATGATCCGCATCCACCTCCACAATGGAGAGGACTCCCCTCAACTGCAAAGTGAGTGCGGTGCATTGCTGGTTTGCTTGCATGCTGCTCTTTATGTTGCGTTGCACAGGAAGGAATCAATAAAATACACGCGGTCCCTTATTCATTCACCAAGACAACACAAAGGCAAGAGCCATATGGTGCGGCTATTTTACCTATTTCGTGTAACGAGAGTTCAGTGCATTTTATATCACATAAACTCTCGCTTACTTTTTAGCCAAGTTTGTATAAGTTTTTGAGTGTGGAGATGGCAACATGGTTCACAAAAAACCTGATGCTGGTACAGTCGTTAGAATAGCAAAGTGTGATGAACGCGCCGGCTAGCACGTAACGCTTTGGGAGGAAACCGCCAGATGGCGCTGCCACACGTTTGCACGTCACCCAAGGCAGCGACGCACTGCGCAGAAACGGGTATCAACCACGCGCGCGGGCAATGTGGAACATTTAAAACATATTTTTTTGCTCGTGCATGGCCTAAAATGGCGACCGAGAAAATATGTTAATTAGCTTCTGGAAAACAGGCTGTCTACGTGGGTGCGGGACTGAACTGAAACATCGACAGGGTGCCGAAAGTGAGTGCGTGACGGCACTGAAACATTTTATCAATGTGAAGTGGTAGAAGAGTGGAACGATGAACTCAGTTGTGAGCCATTGCTTGCAACACCTTCCACGGCGAACCATTATTTCCTCAAGCACTACACTGTAATTAAAGCACCATCGTTCATAATGTCATACACAGTTACGAGAATCACGAGCGGTATCTGGATGAAAACCTTTTTTTTTTCTGCACACAGGCCATACAATGCATTTCTGTGTAGTGACTCACTATCTGTTCACTACAATGCATTCTTAATAATTTGTCACGCTTCCTTTTTTATCCCCAAGAAAAAAAGTTTTATAGCTCACAAGCGCCCCACAGAACATTGGGCTGCAAGCCTAGGTGATCCGCCTCATTCAGGTACTTCCTCTTTTCACGGAAAGATGCTCGCTCCTTGTGGATTACCTCTGTGTAAAAAGGCAAATGGGAGAGAAGAAAAAACTTGGTTACTTGATTGGCGAGGCTAGCACCATGTTGTGCGCAGCCCGGTGTGACATGTTTTTTTTTTTTTTTCTTTTCAAGCAGGAAACAATTTCTTCCAAGCTGTCACTGTGAAGCTCGTTGTAGCTAAACCACTTTGAAAAAGTGATTTCAAGGGCTTCTACAATGCAAAGAGCTTCTCCGAAAGGCCTAGCCATAGGCGTTCGCACGAGGGGGGCAGAGGGGGCGAGTGCTCGCCTGGGAGGGGGCCACTAAATATGCTCTACACATTTGACTAGGCGGTTGGGCACACTTTCAGTCATCTAAAAGGGGGGTGCAAAATCTGCCTCATACACTGATTTAATAGGGAGGAGCCTCCCTGCAGTAAACCTTCACCCCCCTCCTCCCCCCTGACGGCAAGCATGCCTATGGGCCCTACACCTTTCAATGCTGACAATTTCGCCATTCACAGTGTGCTCAAAGTGCAGGGAGATGCACCTCTCGTCAAAGTGCAGCTCGCACACAGCCGAGTCTTTCTTCTTGAAGCAGCTTGTCAGCGCCCGGGATCGCTCTCCGTCAATGCGCAGAGTTTCGTCCTTTGGAACGCCGAACAAGGCATGCTTCTTTTTAGCTGACTTGTAGCCTGTAGTCCACCCCAGGACGAAGCACTGACATTGTTTTCGCGCCATGGGAGTGCATACAGAAGCATTGCTGTCAGAGTGCCACCGCAATTGAAAAAACGAGGACGAACGCGTTTGACGAAATTCTCGGGAACATGCAAACAACGTATAAATAACTGCGCGCACCCCCACGGAGCTCCTCCTCGGAGCCTTTAGTGTGCTCCGTAGGCGCCGCTTGCCGCTCATCACACTTACCTGTTCTAGCCACTGTAACGCTGGCTGGTGTACAAGAATGAGGGTGTGCACAAATAGGCCCTGTACTGGTCACTTTTCATTACCTAATGCTCCCTCAATCGTGGATTTGTTGGCGATAAGCTGTTTATGATATGGAAAGCATATTTTTTAATCAGTCACTCGTCATCTCATGTTGTTGTCTTTCATTAGTGCAAACAATCGTTTCTGTCATGACTGTTACTGGTAGCAACAGAACTGTTTTAGACGCATGAGTGAAGGTCCTATTTTCAGCATGGAGGAATGTGTACACCTTGGTGTACACATTCTTTTATTTCTATTTCTGCAAAATGAAATAAATACAATCGAACACAGATATAACGAACCCACATATATAGAATTTTCGGGTATATCGTATGCGTAAGTTGTCCCTTTGAAATTCCTTTGTAAAAGTATAGAAATTCGCACGTTTATACTGAACGGTATTTTTACCTGCCTTCAGATATATTGAATGCCGCATGAGCTGGAAGGCGTGCTTGGCAATAGTCGCGCTCCATGATATCCGCGGCGATGCAGCTCCGCGTGCGAGTTAGAAGGTGTGCTTTGGCACTTGCAGCGCTTGGCAACCTCCTCTTGGCACCACGCCTCCACCAAAACTCCAAACGCTCGGGGAAAAAAAAAAGGTAAAGGCAAGAGGGCTGGGACTACACAATCTCTGACTAGCGGAACGGCTTTTCTTTTTCGTTTCTCTTTCTCTCTCTCTCATTATTTCTCCACGTACCAGTCTGCAGGAACGAAGGAGCCGACGTCCTCTTCCTTTTGCCTTTTGTTTTAATTTTTGTTGCTGTTTTGCGAGCTGCTGTTTTGCGAGTGCCTAAACCAAGAAGTTGCGGTATTGTGTAAACGCTGCTCACTGGCTGCACCGCGCCTAGCTGGAGCAGATGACCCTCGTTTGCTTGGCGCAAAGTTGGCCTGCAGCGCCGTGGTGGCAGGAACTGCAGCTGGCCGCCTGCTCCCCAAAGGCGAAGTGGAGAGTTCTGAAACTGAAAAAAATTGGCCCGGATCTACATGTTACACTGTAAATGTCGTCGAACAACAATAGTCTCGCGTCTAGAAAGAGTGAACAAAACGTGTATTTGATGTTCTGTGCAAGAAAATCGGTGAATGGTATTCTGCAGGCGCTGCGTTAGAGTGCCTCGAGCGTGTGGCGGAGGCGAGTGAGTGCATCTAGGCACGTTAGACACAAGGGCCATCTGGCAGTTATCTGCGAAAACAAAGGCTTGCAGCGCATGGAGAAAGATGTGCGCCAGTCTCGGAGGTGATTAGGTGTAGAACGTAAAGCAACGGGCAGGTGCCACCATTGTGACGTCGTAACAAAGCGCTGGAAACACTTTTTTGAGCCTCGCGTTGCACTATCAGCGCAGCGCGATTAAGTGCTACATTCCTTAGAGTTACTTTTGTGTGCCTCTTGTAGTATAAAGGCAGACATAGAAAACATTGAAGCGTTGTTGTGGCGCCTCAGATATGTGCAATAATTGCTTTTAATTTGACAATCGCACAACTATGAACGCTAAACCTTGAGCAGTGTTGGTTGCCGCTGCGGATGGGGTTGGCCGTTTGGTGCCGTTTGAGGTATCGTTGGGGCGGAAAACGGACAAATGTACAGACACAGACAGACCAACATTTTTCCGTTGAAGGTCCCCAAGAAAGATTATCATCTTTAAAAGTATCTATAAACGTTGTGCTGAACAGCGGCGGTATAGCGGCGGTTTCTGGTGGTGCCAACACGTCTTTTAGACTTCGTTTACGCATTTTCAGGCTCTGAAAATGCATCGATATGTTAAAGATTGTGTTTACTGTATAGAAATAAGTATCTGAGCCTGGAATTGTTTCTTTGAAGCGGGACGATCGGATCGAAAAAACAGTGTTCGTTGTGGCGACAATATTTATGCATTGACTCCAAGGACTGCTGACAAAGAACGTGAATTTTTCGCTGTAGCGGAAATTTCGTTGAAGCGGCGTCGTTGTAGCGAAGTTCGACTGTAGTCCACTGAGCCATCTTTGTGAACTACATAGTATTTCAAATTGGCATGTAAAATGGAACAAGTATGCCTGATTTCATCTGACTAAAGGGAAATGTCGAAACTTCCCGAATTTATGTACGTTCATGTGCTGACTCCAAGTGTGCAGTTATTTCTTTAGTAAAATGTGTGATCTTTGAAGTGTCAGGCATTTCATGCGTTTTAAAGGCACAAGAACTTACTGAAAATAAGGGCTTCACTAGGTAAGTCTAAATGTGACAACAATTTGAAATTACAATTCTGGGTATTACAAGGAATAATATTGTTGAACCCTTCTGAACTAAAGTTATGCTATGAAAGAGAAAGAAGACAACCACCCAGGTTCGAACCCTGGGACAAATTTTTCAGCAACTAAAAGGCTTTTCTTTCCGAGAAATCCGTACGGATTTCCTTGTGGCTTCCTGCTACTAACAGGTGGTTAAATTTTTTCTTTTTCATAATCCTTTCGCCACATTGCAGGTTTCCGTAGAACTCATTTGAAAGTTTATATGTTGAACATTTCCAAAGGTGTTTATGTCAAGCTGAGATTTTGGTATTCCCAAAGGTGGTTTGTAATCGTATCAAGATATGCAAAATAATGATAGAATGAATATACTGATACAAGATACCACCAGAGTAAATGTATCTAATGCAATACCTGACATTTGTTTTTTAACCTCTTGAGGGTCAATATTCTTTGTGACGTGCACCCCACAAATGTCTATTTCTTTATTGCTGAAACAAATTTTTGAGACAAATCTATTTCATTAAAAACATTGGCCAAACATTTGTGGGGTGACATTAAAGGGACAAATATGTAACTCGTGTTACATACACATGGTTCATTCGTGAGTAACGGTAAGATGACTTCTGTAAAAAAATATTTATGTATGTTGAAAAGCTATGCATTGAAATATATGTATGTGTAGTTCACAGGCGTACAAAAATGAATGCACTTGATGGCGTTAACTTGAAAACATGGGGGGGGGGGGGGGTAGAAAAGCTGCTTTTGATTCAGTCAGCAATGTCTCGCTGTACAGTCTTTAGGGATGTCACTCACTCATCATCATCTGAGTCTTAACT